CCCCCCCCCCGGTCACCCCCCCCCCCCCCCCCCCCTGGTTGACTCCAAGCCAGCAGGAGGACAGGTGGAGCAGGCTAGAGCATCTGGGTGTAAGGGCAGGGGGGCCCCTCCACTCCTGTCAAATGGTTGTCCTGCCCTTTCAAGGTATCCTCCCTCCGGGGGGAAGAAGTGTACCTTCATTCATTACTTGATCGAATTCTTCAAAAGGCACCCTCCTTTCATGTCTCCCCCACCCCACCAGCTATAACAACTGGGGTGCTGGCCGCCAGGACCAGAGCTACGTGTGTCTCTACAGCAGCAAGTGGAAAAGATGGGAGAACTCCTTTTCTGTGAACAGAGAGGGGCCCAACATCATCTCTCACAAGGACCGTGTGAGATCATCTCCTCCCTCACATAGATGCTGCCACTGTGTCTTGTGAGTTCTTAACATGCCTTTTCATCCAGCAGGGTTTGCTCTCACACTCCTGGCATCTCCTAAAGGAAGGATGCTTCACATGGGGAGTTCTAGAAAATCGGCTGTGACTTTAAGGGGAACATAGGCATGTAGCTTCCAGGGGACCCCAGGCAACTTTTTCAGGTAGAGAGTGCTTGCTTTTGCCATTTGGGATCCTCAGTGCTGCCGTTGACATCCTTGAGCCCATTGAGGCTCACTTCTGTACATGGCACAGTTTCAGGACATTTTAAGAAATGTTATGAGAATCTTCCAACAAACTATAACTTATCTCAGTATTCTTTCGGGTGAAAGATGCTTCATTCTGTGTTATGAGACACAAAACCACAGGCTATGTTCACTCCCTGCTCAAAGGCAGAACCATCTACACAGATGTGCACGTGTGTCACACACACACACACATATACACACACACACACACACACACACACACACACACACACACACTTGATGCTTGACTTTTAGGGTCAGATCTTGTTTTCATTCCAGGCAGAAAGGCATGTTCTATGAGACAGTTCTAGAAAAACAGAGTGTGAACTTTTTCACCATGGGCAGTTGAGCATGGAGTCCAGTAGAGACAGAATCTATGGGCTGCATATGGTCTGAATTCTCACTGAAGTTTTTTCAAAGGCTCAGCCAGTGAGAGCAGGAGTGGTGGCGGTGGCTATCCCTGTCTTTACAGACTGTGCCCAATGTACCTCCAGGCATATTTCACCTTGTGATTCAGACAAGTACATGCTTGATACCTGGGTCCCCAAGGTTTTGTGGCACCATGAGGGTTTAAGGAAAAAAATAAGGCAGTTGTATGTGGGCATTAGAAACAGGAGACAGGCCATGGCACCGTTTAGTCTGTGTGCAGCGGCAAAGACCCGCGGTTTCCTCTAGTCTGACAGAGTGGCAAGTCAAGTTTATACCTGTGGTTTTCCTTAGAGAGATAGCTATAGACATTCACCAGGCAGTCAGAAAGCTCGGCTCACACTGTCGTTGTGTCTGTTACGTTTTGGAAACAGCAAATCTTAACCCAGGTTGAAAGTTATACTTGCCTGCAGTGAACAATTATGGGACAAGAGCGGCCTCTGTAGCACTTGTTAACTTTTCTGAAATAAAAAGAGATGGAAGTTATAGTGGCATGCTGAGGTTCTGTCATCCAAACCACAAACAAGCCCCAGCATCAAATCCATACATCTAAATAATTTTTTGCAATAGCTTGTTGGGACATAAGAGTGAGAATTTACATATCTAATTCAGTGACATTTCCCCCTTTCAATGGCAACTTGGTAAGTGAGCTTCAGAAGTGCATCTTACAAGTGCATAGTGGGTGCTTTTTCTCCCCTTGCAAGAGTGAACTCCAGGCTTTGGCTACAGGTACCTTCTGGCCTTACCCCCTCACCCCCTCAGCCCCTCAGGCCCTCTTTCTCCCTCCCTGATGTGTCCCTGTATGTGGCTCCCAGGACTGGACTCCTGTTGGAAAACTCACAGTTTTGTACTGTATGCTCAAAATTTCTTGTAGTCTGCTCATCACACGGAAATATAACATTATTATGTCTAAAAACAGCATCCTGAAGGTCCTATCTGACCCATTGGCTTGAGGTGAGGGTATGGAAATTATGAAGAACACCCCAGGGAGTTCAAGATCTTTTTTTTCTAATTTTCTACATCTATATTGGAGTGTTTTATTTTTTTAAATAACCCCACTGCAAGTTTCAACCAGCACTCATGAGCACTTAACGGTGAGATATTTAAGGTATTGTTGACCAAACCGTATCTCATCCATGGGGCTGGTTTCAATTCATAGTTACAGGCTCCAAGATTTATTTATTTTTAATTCAACGGAACAACTAAACAAGTTTTCAAGGCACACTAAAGTTTCCAGTAAAATATCCTTATCAAGGAAAGTAAAGACAGGATCTGAGTTTGCTGGAAGAGGGGGTGAAAAGTGTGATGATGGTGTGTTTTAGAATGTGCTGTGTGACCTCCTGAAATGAGACTCAAATTAAGGAGAAAAAAAAAAAAAAACGACAATACAGAAAAGAAATGTTTCCCCTTGAACCAGAAATGGGAATATGTCACGTTTCTTTGCCTCCAAAGCACTGTGATCTCGAGTGGACAGCGGAAATCAATCGGCTGTGGCTGCAAGTTCACAGGCCTGGTGGAGGGAGCATCGGCCTGTGTCCTACGGTCCATACACTGAGTAGATAATTTAGTGTCAGGCAGCCTGACAGCAGAAGCCGTTTTTTGTCTCCCATTTTTCGACTTCTACTGCAGTGTTACTAGACTTAGGTACTTCTGATAGAAGTCTGAATGCCCCTTCCCCCACAACGGGACCAGCAAATGGGAACTGAAGGGCAGATGCAGAGCCTGGAAAAGATGCGCCCCCTACAAACAGCTCATGTGCAAAGCACTGTTCAGCCGCACTTGATCTGTGGCTGCTCTCTTATCTGCAAAGACCTGCAGCATCCTTCAGCCTCGGGACCACCCACAGAGGCTCCAAACAGGGGGCATGCTCAGAACCAGGGGGTAAAACAAGTAAGCTCTCTCCTGGTCCTTTCTGAGGAAGACTTTCATGGCCAGGGGTGTGAGGTGGCACTGTGAGGCCTGGAAAGAGGTCAAAAAATTAAAAGCAAACTCCCTGAGCAACAGCACCCACAGACCAGGATGCCCAGGAAAGGTTTTGGTCCTTGGTCCTAACCTTCCTTAGGAAGCAGACCCAGTAGCCTCTCTTGCTGAAGTCCCCTGTTCCCTGCTGGGTTCCAGTTCTGACACAAGGGTCTGTTAAAGCCAGAGCCTCAGCCTTGAAGCTGCTAGCTCGGTAGAACCTGTGCGCAGGGCTGAGTTGTAACTGTGATGGAACCCTGGCCTGGCAGGTCCACTGGGTGGCTTTCCTCCCAAGACTCTTTCTCTTTAGGCAGAGTTCCCCTGCTAACAGGAATAACTCTGGGTCACAGTGAATACTTGGCTACTGTGGGTTGGGCAAGTATCCTCATTGCCCACAACAAGATGGATAGCCACCAGGGTTACTCTGCTCTGCTTTCCCGATGGGAAGGAGCGTAAAAGATGCACATTAAGAAACAGGGCAAGGAATCTGTAAGGGGAGCACTGTTAACTGCTCAGCAGGAGCACCATTAACTGCTCAGCACCCACTTAGGCAAAACTGCACCCATAATCTCTCTAAGGTAAGAGTGTGATCCAGGCTAAGTGGCCACCACTCAGATCTCCAATCCCGTGGCCCCATTTTCCTCTACAGGATGCTTAAGGTATGTTTGCTTCAGATTGGTTACCTCAGGAGGCCCTTTGAGAGATTTCACAGTACTTTTCATACCCACGCCAGACCCGCCATGTACCATATTTACATGCAACCCTGGGGCCAGGTAGGAGACAAGGTGGAAATACTTGTGGCTGTATAGCTTAGAACTTTATTAGCAAAGAATCACGGGTTATTACAGCGTGAAATACCACAAATAGAAAAGCAAAAAAAGAAAAAAGAAAAAAAAGGAAAAAAAAAGAAAAAAAAAGTCAAACATGGAGCCAATGTGTTCATCCGAGGACCTGAGATGCGGGTGCTGGTTATTCGTGAAGATGAGCAATACACGGTTGTCTCATTTTGGTCTTAGACAGGTCGTCAGTAAGCGAGGTCTCCAACACTGAGCGGAAATGGATATTATATGGACTTTGGCAGGAGGATTTCCCAGAGAAGGAACCATTAGCAATACAAACCAACCCTCGGTCACTGAGTGAGAAGGAGTCGCCATGCAAACGGACAGCAAGCAAAGTCAGGTCGTTAGAGGCTCAGAGAGGGGCCCCGTGTCCCTGCAGCAGTCACAGTTTCCAATGATCACTTTTGTGACTATGCAACTGGGCTCATATTACTAGCTGCAACGTCACAAAAATGACACTGGCCACCGCTAAGTAGCTGGCAAAGTAAGGGTTTGTCGGTTTGACAGTGAGCAGCATTAGTGGATGCATGGAACACAGAGGAGGGGGGAGGGAGGGAGGGAGGAAGAGGGAGTAGGGGGAGGAGAGAGAGAGAGAGAGAGAGAGAGAGAGAGAGAGAGAGAGGAGGCAGGAGAGAAGAGAGGTTTGTAGAGCCAAGCCCTCACATGTGACTCTAATTATCTCTTAGCAGTTTATCTTTAAAGTGTAAATGTGTGCCCCCCTGGGCTCCAGAAACAGTTAGTTACACATGGGTGGGTGCCTGACACACACCCCAAGCCTGCTGAGAAGGCTAGGCTATTGTTCCAAGACTAGAGCCCCTCCCCACTCCCCTGAACAAGGTGGGATCCACAAAGGTGGCTTCCTACCCCCTCCAGCTGCTGGCACGGGCAATTCATTTCTAAGCCAAGGTATCCCCCAGAGTGTGGTCATTCATGCCAGTTCTCTGGGACGGTGTGAAGGGGCCCTCATCTGGGCTACTGGGTCCTGACCAGACTGATACCGGTATGGGTATGTTCCGTTCCATATATGAATACAGACATGGGCCCATACACATATATGTGCAAACCCCTTGGATGAGCTTGGAGACGGGTCGTG